ACCATAGAGAAAGGAAATCATCTGCAAAGCCCAAATCAAAGACCAGATTTGACTTTTTATAGAACTGCATTACAGATATTAAACAAATATTATTCTAAGCTGGTACAGAAATAAAAATCAGACCTTGATTGTGGATGGGGTGAAAGAAATTTCTTAAATCTTCCTGTAGAGTTAAACTTTCAAAAACATTTGAATGTCTTTGGAGTTTAGGGAGGAGCTTCTAAAGGTACTTGGATGCTTATTTGCCATCAAAAAACACTTCAGCTTAAGCACTTATATCCTTTTCAGTTCTGCACAGAAAAGGGTCCATGTAGAAACTAGCGCATGAAACTTCATGCCTGTCTCAGAAAAGTCATAGTGCTCCTCATAATATTCATATCTGAACCTATAATATTTATTTAAAAGCTTAGTGAAACTCTTTTTTGTTACTTTGCTTTATCAAAAGTCTTCTAACTGATCCAAACAATTTTATAAAAACATTTCTATCACCTAGTATATTTTTCTTTCTCATACAAATGTTTATAAATGAACAAGATTGTTGTACAATGATGTAAAAAGTTAGTCAACCTTCCCAGCCTAAGCAGACAAACAAATCCAACCAGATTTAGTGTAATCTCAGATGGACTTGAACTTAAAAAATAACATTTTCTTCTTGTTCCTTTCACATTTTTCTTCATTTCCTTTAAAAAAATAATGTGAGATTGAAAGGGGAAAAAGACTCTTCCTCTTTAAAATCAGTTATTTTCTTTGTTGTATATTATTTCCATTTAAAATACCCCAAACAAATCAGAAATAGCCATAACACATTAGAAGTAAGATAAAAATGAAAGGTTGTGTTTGCCGTTTTTCACACTCATTGCTATTTTTTCATCCAGTTCCAATGATTTTCTGAAACAAAAAATACTGTCAGGACAGGCCCAAGACAGGAGACAAGAACGTAGAATCTGGAGGCTTTAACAGGCAATAGCTCAAAGAGGCTGAGCTCTGCCTGCTGCCAAGTTTTATTAGCTCTCCTCACAACAACAACAAACACTACTGCCATAGACATAATATTTACAAAACAACATCTTCTTTGAATCAAAGGAGCTCATAAACCAGTGTGCCAATGCATGCGCCCAGAAGCCCAAACAATACAGCAGCAGAGGGAAGACAGACTGACAACAGCGTGCCAACGGACAGGAATAGATCATATATGGCACAGCAAGGGAAATGGAGCAGCTACGCTGTGTCAGCCCACATGAACTGCCTTCTGCTGGAAACCATTCATTGGTCACAGGTATCACGAAACAGACTTCTGGACAAGGATTTTTCCTTTCTCAGGCTGTGTAGAAAGAAGAGTTAGGGAAGGATAGTCCACAGGAAAACAGTCTCCAAATGTAAAAGTGAGAGGAAAGTTGTGCCTCCAGTAATCCCGAGGCTAGCAAAATGCTGCAGGAAATGAGGAGGGAAACAGTAGCAGCTTGTTTAGGGAAAATGCTAGGAAAATATCTTGGGGTACTGGTGTGGGGAGTGAGAGGGAAGGGACCCTTCCCCTGGGCACATTCAAGAAGGGAATTTTCTTCAGGTGACCTACTGCCTCCTGTGACAGCCACTCCACTGAGGATTGCTGCTAAAACTGGGGGGAATTGGTCAAACACAGTTGCAGAGCCCACCAACCCAGCTCTTGCCCTCCATCGCTGATGCCCATAGCTGTTGTTCCAAACATCCAGGTAGGTGGAGAAGCATCTTTCCCTGCCTGGGCTTTGCAGGTCTGGGTTTAGCCAGCTATGAGAGAGGTATTTCTGCTCTAACACATTCAGGGGGCAGCTGGTCTAGGGAAGTTGTGTGACCATATGTGTGTGTCCCTTCATCACTGTGGTGGTATCTTCTTTGGTAACAGCTGGTGGGGCCAAATTCACCATGCTGCTAGAGATAGCAGACTGGCACGCCCTGACTGCACATATCCAGCTGCACCAGGACTGATTTGAGCCTGTCCCCTGTCTCTTGCTTTCAGTAAACAGGTCTGTCTGTGTCAGCATTTCTCTCAGAAATGTTTTTCCTGGTTCATTAAAGGCAGATGGGAGCTGGCAATCAGCAGTTCTCCTTCCCAGTGCCAGTCAGTTACTTTTCAGGTCATTACGCCTTAAAATAATTCAAAGCTCCTTATTAATGCACTGAGGCAGGAATGACCAATTGCAACCGACGTAACAGAGCTGTGGATAACAATAACTGGGTTCTGATAAACACTGGTCCCAACTGCAGGAAACTGGGGCAGAGGGGCTGGTGAACATCAGGTTGCTTTTATCTGCACTTTTCTCCTTCTCTCAAACCTTCTCTGTCCTTTCCAGTCTCTTCCTATACCCACATGGGTTAGAAAGCACAGTGCTGTGTCTGTTCCCTTTGCCCATCTGATGGTGAGTGCTTGCTGTTGCGTTAGTGCAACATCTGCTTCTTAGTTCAGCTTTCTGCTTTGCTTCCACAGAGATCATCCCTTGTTCCATGTAAGCTGGGTTATGTGAGCCACTGACCTGGGACACAATCCTGCATTGCCAAAACGATCCCTAATCAGTGGGGCACTTAGCACTACTGAACCATCGTAAATGCTGATTCTTGGTGCACAGCAAGCCCATGGCACATTTTTGGACCTTTAGCCAGAGGTGAAAAAAGCAAATGCCTGGAGGGGGTCAGAATAGAAACACTCCAGCTTCGCCCACCCATCAGCAATCCTCCTATGGGTAGCATCAGCATGGAGGGCATGCTGGGCTCTACCCTCACCCTTGCTGGTGGCTGAAGGTGTTGGGCTAGCAATTAGCGACTACTGGAGAGTTCTCACAGTCCCATGGGAGGTGTTTGCTGGAGATAACCCTAAGCTACTGGAGGAACCATGCTTACATGGCAAACACACGTGCACTCCCCATGCTCTGTTATCAGACAAACTGCACGTGTAATTTCTGAGCAAATAGCTTTACTGTAGTAAGGAGGAAAGCTTTCCACATCTCAATCTCCACCTTCAGCAGAAGTGCAGCTCCTGAAGTCCACACAGCAAGGGCAGCACTCCTCAGAGGAAGGAGAGCAAAACTGAGCACTAGCAACACTGAGATAGGGAGATGTACAGAAATAAGGTATGGACCAAGAGGATAAAAGCCTCCTTGGAAATCATTTGTGCTTTGGTGTACATGCGGATCCCAGCAGCCATACTTTGGTTTCTCTCTCTCAAGGGTTTATCTGGAGTAGTAGCAACGATGTGGAGATTGGCTTGTTGGGGAAAGGG